GAATTTGTCTGTCACCAGGCACTTAAAAGTTGAAGCAAGTAGAGTAATTTATTATCTACAGTGTTTATTTCTGTCAGAGGGAAATGACTGGCAAAGAAACTACTGCAAAACCTGCCGTTCTGTGACTGAAAACCAGGGGGTATGCATGTGCGTGAGCGTGTGTAAGTGTGTGTGTGTGTCCTTGCACACAGGTGCCATCTTACCTTTCACTCGAATGTCCCTGTTACACAGTGACGTTGACCTTATCCATTCAGAACCGTCAGCCACCAGGTTGTTTCAGGAAGGAGATTTAAACCCAAATCTAATGTTTGCCACAAATTAAATGCTCTCCTAAGAACAGTGATGGTGAAGCAATGATTGTTATAAAAAACAAAAATGAGATTAAGTTGCTTTTTCACTTGTCTTTGATTATACCACCTTAAGGTAACCAACTGCTGACAGTGTCTGTTTCTTTCTAACCTGTTTTGTGTGTGGGTGATGGTTGGGCTTTTCTGCACAGCTGTCATATGGTGGCTTCTATTTTATGTGTGTTTCCCCTTAATTTTCAGATTTGTCTGATCCTCTGCCCTAAATTTGATGAAAACTACTTAACTTATAAAAAAAATTAATTTAGCAGAAATTTGCAGACTGTTGTGCTTGTGCCAAGAACACCACTAGATCACATGACACGCATAGATTGGGCAAGTGGAGGGAGAGAGAATTAACCCACAGGGATCATGGGACATAGCAGAGAGGATGGAGGTAGGAGCCATATGAGTGCATTCAGGGCTGGGCTTTCCACTGTCTGCATGACCTCAGGCAAGCTTCATGTCTTTTTTTGAGCCTCAGCCTCCTCATCTGTAAAATGAAAATAATATCACCCACCTCACAGAGTGTCATGAGGATGAAATGAAGCATTACATGTCACATGCCTGGCTGATGGTCACCATTTCTTCAGGGCGTACCATGTGAAGGCAATCTTGTCATCTTAGCAGAATCCTCTCCTCCTTCCTTCCAAAGGCACTCTCCTTCCCCAGAGAGACTGGGGTTTTTGTTGTTGTTTGTTTTGACTAAGTACTTTGGTAAATGATACGGGCTGCTTGAAAACACTTGATAGTTCAGAGTAACAGAGGGGATTTTAGAGGCCATGGTGGGAAGAAGAGTGGGGAGAGAGAATGGGGCACCTGGCTCAGGAGGAGCTTTGGGGAAAGAAGGGAGATGTTCAGAGGGGTTTCTGTTGCATAATTTTGCTGTGTGTTGTGTGGAATCACCTCTGCTCTCTGCCTCCCAGGGCTGGTGGTAAAATCCACCTCACATGGACTGCATGGCAGTACCAGGTCAGTTTGGGGGAAAGGGCCGGAAGCATGGAGACCACTTGGAGCAGCCGGGGGAGTGGAACCACCCCCACAGTCAGCCAGGACACAACCAGATTATGTCACTGCCCGCGAGCTGCCTCTCCTGGTCCCTCCACTGCATCACCCTCCAGGATCCTGGCACAAAGCCTTGCCTGTCCCTTCCCCTGCCTTCCACCTCACCATCCCCTCCCTGGCTCTGCTCCACTCCCTGCAGTCCTGCCTTGGTTTGGCAAGCCCTGGCCCCCACTGTCTGGCTTAAAGCAAACTCCTGTCCATCCTTTAGGACCCAACGTGAGCAGCTCGCCCCTGAGAGGGGTCCCTAGCAGCTCAGCATGCCTCCTTTGGGCTGTCTGTACCTCTATTTAGCTCTTAGGTTTTTTTTCATTTTGTTCTTTTGTCCTAACTTTCCTTTTTTTTTTATTTTTTTATTTTTTTAAAAGTGAGACAGAGGCTCTCTCTGTCACTCAGGCTGTAGTGTAGTGGCGTGGTCTTTGCTCACTCCAACCTCTGCCTCCAGGGTTCAAGCGATTCTCATGTCTCAGCCTCCCGAGTAGCTGGGACTACAGGCATGTGCCACCACACCCAGCTAATTTTTGTATTTTTAGTAGAGATAGGGTTTCACCACATAGACCAGGCTGGTCTCAAACTCCAGACCTCAGGTGATCTGCCTGCCTTGGCCTCCCAGAGTGCTGGGATTACAAATGTGAACCACTGCACCTGGCCTAACTTTCCTTTTATAACACGAATGACAAGGAAACACATCAAGCCATGCTCAAGCTAAAAATTGTCATCCATGCATTAAGCAATGCTTAAACTAAAAATTCCCATTTGTGCATCATAATGAGAATTAAAATTGTTGACCTGTGACAGTGCTCTCTCTCTTTCAAAGCTGACACCAGTTGTGGGACAGGTAGTTACCATAATTATTCCCACTTCACAGGTGAGGAGACTGAGATTCAAAAAGGTGAAATATCAAAACAAAGTCCTTTCCACACCCCACCCCCAGGCTTCTCATTCCCACTGTACCCAGCTGTCCCCCTAGGAGACAGTGAGCCCAGGGACATGGAGGGGTGGCTGTTGGCGGGCACTCTGGGCACCCCTGATGGATTGGCTCTGTAGGTGCTGCCACCCTTTCCCATCTGGACCCTGCTCACCTTTTGGATCATCTGAAGGTGGTTTGAGCTGTGTCTCTAACTTGCTCTCTGGTCTTGGGGAAACAGCCTCACCTCTCTGGGCCTTAACTTTCTCACAAAAGGAAGGGGCTGCACTTGGAATCCAGCACAGAGGGAGGTGTTTCCATCCTCTGGGACCCTCCATTCATGGAGAGTTGAGAACGGTCAGGATCATCCTGGGATGCTTTTCTCCTGTCAAGAAAAGAGCTTGCCACAGATTTCCTCATCGTCCACAAATTCTGAGGAGGTGGAGGGACAGTGATAGAAAAGAAACAAAATGGACCTCCCTGTGGAAATTCAAGACCTGGTCCTAGTTTGCCTCTTTCCATGGTTCTGTGGCCACGGCCCCGTTCTAGAAGGAGCCAGCGGCCGGGCCCTTTCTGCTGTCCTCTCTGAAGTGGAGTGATTGCTGGTTGATTATAAAGTTGGGCGATGCACCTGGAATGCAGAGGAGCTTTTATTCCCCTACAGAACTACTGACTGGCAGTTCTCAAAGGGGCCAGAAATTAACAAGTAGAGAGGTGTTAGGACAGTGTTGACATCTCTGGGAAAAACAAATGCCACAAAGATTCAATTGACAATCTTCTTGCCATTCAATAAGCCAGAATCCTTCAGAGTTACACATTTAGCATTAACATGGGATACAGAAGCCACAAATTAAATTTTTACTGCAATCAAATTTATTGAGGAAGCCACATTTGTGAGGCGTTTTGGGGCATGAGAGAGACTACTACCGAACTCAAGCCCTTAGGCCATCCCTTACCCAGGTCATCTCCTTGGTATGACTTAGCCTCTCTGTAGGAGCTGGAAGGAATTCAGAAAAGCAAGATAGATTGTTATGGCTTATTACATCAACGTGTGTGTGCAGGAGTTACTTAGAATCCAGACAATCAGCTCTTCAATGCTATCTTCCACTATTTTGTCAAAGTTCTAAATGAAGCGTCATCTGGTACTCAAGGGACCATATTTCAAGAGTTCCGAGAAGTGCCACCTTTCCCCCTTTCATAGAATAACAGGAAAACACGTGCTTGAAGCACAAACAATCCATTCAGTTCTCCAAGCTTGGATCAAGCTAGATGTTTGTTTCTGCAAGTGTATTTTTCAAGAGCCATGTCAGATGAGCAGATAAGGAGCTTGAAGACCCTTTCCCTAGGTGGGAACTGTTCTGGTAGGCCCAACAGGTCTTCTGTCACTGCAGGTCCTGTGTGCTTCTTTAGGAGGAATGACAGCAGGGCTTAGTCATACACTTGCCTGTTCCCTTTTCCTTTCCTGCTCACCTTCCCCACCCCCATCTCATCTTTCATCTTTTAAATGCTGTTAGTTTTCGCAGAAGGAATTGTTGAATTTTCACTGGAGGATAAATGATTTCCTGGCCTCCTAATGATAGATGTCTGCTGTACTGGTGTCATTGTATTAGGTTGGCGCAAAAGTAATTGCGGTTTTTGCAGTTGCTTTTAATGGCAAAAATCGCAGTTACTTTTGTGCCAACCTCGTGTATGCACAGTTCTGTGAGAAAGGTTTAGCTCAGTCTCGTTCTGCCAACGCCATCCTCAGGGGCAGGGGTGGCCTCTGCCTCACCTGGCTCAGAACCTGATTCCTCCTGTGTGTGTTGAGGGTGGGGCCCACCTTTTGAGTTTGTTGTGAAAAGCTAAAGGGCACAATTGTTGGGGATGACTGTAGTTTCCTTCGTGTTTAGTCTCTGTTTCTCTAGGTCTCAGTTTTCCCAGGTATAGAAGGTGCCTAATACGGGAGTGGCCTCAGGTGGCCCACAGACCTGGCACGCAGTGGCTGTGAATTGTGCTCCGAGATGGTTACCCCCTTTTCTTCTCCGTTCCCATTCCTCTGCTATGTCGGGGAGAATGTCACCATTTGGGGCTAGCTCCTCTCCAACACTATTAAGTACCTGCCAACTGCCCTTTTTAACAAAGATCAGGCCTTGGGTCACCATGAGTAGGGAGTTGACAGTCATTGGCTGGAATGTAAAAACACTTTTTGATTTTTAAAAAATTATTACTGGCAATTATTACATCAATCCTGATTTCCTGTTTTATAAGTAGTGATAGAAAATGTATGTCTTAATACATTTATGTAAGTTCATTTATGTATTATGTAAGTTAATACATTTTATTATTTACATAAATAATAAAATACATTTATGTAACTTCAGTAAGTTTACAGAGAGCTCCACGGTAAGTTCTGGCACCAACAGCAACCAGTCATGACAGCAGCTGCCAAGAGGGTCAGGCACGGTGGCTCACACCTGCAATCCCAGCACTTTGGGAGGCCCAGCACTTTGGGGAAACTCAGGAGGTCAAGTCTAGCCTGGGAAATATGGGGAAACCCTATCTCTACTAAAAACTTGAAAAAGAAAGAAAAGAAATCAAGAGGGAACATATGTGGCTGAAGTTGAGGACACCGTACTCCACAGGGTCTCTCAGGACGAGGAGGTCATGCAGTCAGGAGGCAGCTCCGCTTACGTCCTTCTCTGTTCCAGGCATGGATCCTGAGAAATTAGAACGAATCCAGCTCCCAGTGCCAAATGTGGCAGAGAAGAACACCTACAACCATCCGTTGGCTGAAAGGCTCATCAGGATCATGAACAATGCTGCCCAGCCAGGTGCCCACTTGGGGTGTTGTCTGTCCACAGGGCTACACAGTCATAGGGAGCAGGCCCCACTGGGAGCCAGAGCCCTGGGTGCTAGGCCTGAGCCTTATGAGTTTCCGGGCCAATCCCAGACACTCCCTCAGCCCCTCAAGCCCTGCATCCTGGGACAGCCCTCCTGCCTGCTAGGACTGTACCTTTAGCTCTGGGTCTCCTTTTTCCATCCCACCCCCTGCCACTTGGAAGCTTCTTTCTTCTCCTTCCATACCCCGCCCTTCCTTTGCTGAGACTGCCAGTGTTTGTCACTGCGCTCCCCACTCCCGGTGGCCCAAGGCAATACTGTGAGAAAGAACTAGGCTGGGAGTGACGTGAGGGGAGAAAGTTCGAAAGGTTTAAGGGGCCAGTATAGCAGAAGACAGAGTTTTGTTAGCAGCAACAGTTGCGGGTAGGTATGGGAACAGGTAGGAGTGAGACTGTGCTTGGAGCAAAACTCACTTGGAAGAGGCAGGTGAAGATAGGGTACGCTAGTGCTGGGCTGGGCGGGGTGGGGTAGTGAGACCTGGTGGAGCTGAGACCACTCAGCCTTCTCCTTGATGGTCCCTGCATCTTGTATTATGTTTAGGAAGACTTATCTTTCGTGATAGCACTTTTTCATTTTTTAAGCAGAATCCCTTTTCTCGCGTATTTTCACCTGACTTACAAGGCATTAAAGGGACGGGCAGGGAGGTGGGCAGAGGGGTATATCTGCCTTTAGTTTTTTTCCCAGTGACCCATCGTGGTCTCTGATGTTTCCAAGGCCTTAGAGGCATAACGTGAGGACGACCTCCTTTCCACAGTGGGACCTTTCCCCAGAAATAAACTTTAAAGACCCACAGAGGAGTTTGCATAAGAGCAGTTGCCCTTAAGTCAGTCAGTTACAGATGCTTCTAGGAGAGATGCCACGTGTGGGTTTTGGCGCCCTAAGCACCTGCAGTCTACCACTGCCCCGCTATGAGACCCTGGATGAGTCACTTCACTTTGCTGAGCCTCAGTCTTTGGAGCACTCATTGCAACAGGTTTTTATAGAGATTCCTTGAGGAGGTGTATATAAGGTGCTCCACACTTTACCTGGCTCACAGTAGTAAGTAAGAGCATAGTAAGTAAGCTGTTTAAGAGCTCTGTTGCACTTGATGGAAACCCAGCTCACTCCAGCTTAAATAGTACACACAGACAGATAAAGCTGTGTTGCCTTTTAAAGTCTGCTGAGGCCTAGCTTCAGGCAAAGTTGGATCCAGGGGCTCAAACAGTATTTTTCTACATTTGGTCTCTGCCACCTTCTGGGTTGACAAGATAAATGCCAAACCCCCCAGCTAGCCCTTTCTCCACCGAGACTCTAGACTTGCTCTGTGAGAGATGCTTAGCTTTGGACAGTCTAGTTGGAAGACAGATCTCAAAGTGGTATTTGCAGAGTACTTGACAAAGATGGAAAATGCTGGCAAAGGTGAAGAGGTGGTCGATAGATTATAATGCTAGTGCCCCTCAGAGGCTCACCACAGTCCTCTGCTCAGCCCAGTACAAGGAGAATTTTTCTTACCCAGAGTTTCTAGCAAATTGCGAGGTTGAGCCATACTGGCTGTGTGACTTCCTTGCCTGGTTCTTACCTCGTCACTGGGACCGAGGAAATGGAGCACACCATCTGGCCAGGTGATGTGCCCAACCCTGGAAGGGGGGCAAGGAGGACCAGCTCCACCCAAATCACATGACCAGAGTGGGACTGGCAGCTCTCTAAAGGAAATCGGGGTGCAGGGCCACTCTCCAGGACTCAGTAGTGTTTAGTCACCCTTTTTCCTCTACTGCCTGCCAGTAAATGGGCTTCAGGGAAGTATTTGGTATAAGCAGTTTTGATGGGGAACATTGAGTTCTAACTGATTGGGAATGGTTTTAGCATGGGGGTTCCCTCTGTGTCCCTACTGGATGTTGGGAGCCATGAGCAGTTGGTCTATCACCTGACCTGCTGACCTCGACATGGATAGGCAGGAGCCTTGGGCTGCAGGGTGTTTCACCGTGGGTGTGCAAGGCTTACCCTAGTGTGCTCTGCAGATGGGAAGATCCGGCTGGCAACGCTGGAGCTGAGCTGCCTGCTTCTGAAGCAGCAAGTCCTCACAATTGCTGGCTGCATCATGAAGGATGTGCACCTGGCCTGCCTGGAGGTGATGCCCTCTCCCCTCCTCCTTCCTGTACAGGGGCCAAGGGAGAGGGACAGGAGGATGGGAGGGCAACTGCTGGCATCCAGATAGGAGCCCTGGCCCATGGTGTCATCAGTCACTAGCTAGAAGTTGCAGGGCCTGCTCTGCCGAGACTCACTGAAGAGTCCAGTTAATTGAGTTTTAGTAGTTTCTGTCGCAGCTGTTTGGTTCTGTATTTGTCCTCAGAATTTTTCCTTTAGTATTACAAAAATTTTATGCACATAGAGACATATTCACGCATATACACACACTGATGATGGTTTTTGTGCTTAAAATATACATTCATTAAATTTTCAGTAGCTTTTATGTTACCCTCCTCTTATTTTCTGTGTTTATTTTAGAAAATTTAGGAAGTAGAGAGGTAAAAGTAACAACTATAGTTGACACTTTGGCTGTGTCTGTGCAGACACACACGTGTATATATACACACATATAGGTAAATAAATATATATTTAAGTATTATATAAGCAAATAATTACATATGAAAAGAATTCTATTTATATATACAATGTGAAAATATACAGTGTAAGTATATGTTTACATATGTCATGTGTAAACATATGCAAATATGTATATATGTAAATGAAATATGTTTGCATATATGTAAATGAAAACTAAGTATGTATATATGTATGTATAAGTATATATGTACACATATGTATAAATGAATTTTTTGTCTTACACAAATGTAGTTGGGCCAGGTGCAGTGGCTCATGCCTGTAATTCCAACATTTTGAGAAGCTGAAGTGAGAGGATCACTTGAGGCCAAGAGTTTGAGACTAGCCTGGACAGCATACTGACACACTGTCTGTAAAAAAAAAAAACAAAAACAAAAACATTAGCCAAGACACACCTGTGGTCCCAGCTGCTCAGAAGGCTGAGGCTGGAAGATTACCTGAACCCAAGAGTTTGAGACTGCAATGAGCTATGACTGCACCACCACACTCTAGCCTGGTCCACAGATTGAGATCCTGTCTTTAAAAAATAAGCTAAGAAAGGAGTCATAATGGCCTTATTTTATAACCCATTTTCCCCCAATGAGCTGTATATTAACAGCTTCTCATGTCATTACAGTCGAATTACGTATCCTTTCCCTGTTTTTATTTTGAACTCTCTCATTAAGAATTATTTTATAAGCCAGGCACAGTGGCTCACACCTGTAATCCCAGTGCTTTGGGAGGCCGAGATGGGCAGATCCCCTGACGTCGGGAGTTTGAGACCAGCCTGGCCAACATGGTGAAACCCTGTCTCTACCAAAAATGCAAAAATTAACTGGGCATGGTGGCAGGTGCCTGTAATCTCAGCTACTTGGGAGGCAGAGGCAGGAGAATTGCCTGAACCCATGAGGCGGAGGTTGCAGTGAGCCGAGATTGCGCCACTGCCCTCCAGCCTGTGCAACAGAACAAGACTCCGTCTCAACAAAAGGGAAAAAAGTGTTTTTTACATTAAGGTTATTAGTCCACATCTGTTTTATACACACTCATATTTTGGAATTTGTAGTTTGCCCAACTTGCTCACCTAGATGAGAGCTGCCTCCTTCATACCTTCCTTCTCTTTTACAGGGTGCGAGAGAAGAAAGTGTTCACCTTGTACGACATTTTTATAAGGTAATTGGCAGAGCACAGATGGACGGCAGCATGGTGGGTCTTGTAGAAGCAGGAGTGTGATGTCTGGTTCTATGCAGATAAATGTTATGTGTCTTCAGTTATTTTTTATGCCTGTAGTTACTGAATAAAAATGCTCAATTTTATAGTCTCTAAGGCAGCAATGTCTAAACTTTTTTCTGCCCATGCTCTTATCAGTAAAATTTTTGAGGACTCAGCTCCAGTATATGATAGTTTGTTTCTCAGTTATACATGGATTTGTTTATTTGGGAATAATTATATGTAAATTATGAACTATGTGCATATAAACACATGTGAGTAAATTATATATATATGATCTTATGTTCATGAGTTATATGTGCTTACACATATAAAATTATGAGTTACCTATCAATTTATGAACTATATACATGCATATTATTTACATGAGTATGTGCTAAGGAACCTTATACAGGCTTCTAAACCTTTATTAAGTTTATTGAGATTCTGTAAAGTGCCACCATGACTTCCAGTATCTGAAAAATTTGCAGAGCTTTGTCTTCAGGCTCCAGATGGTTTTGAAAATATCTAATTATGATGATTTTGTTTTAGCTCTATAAGGCATATGTTTTAGTCCATTCAGGATGCTAAAACAAAATACTGTAAACTGGATAGCTTATAAACAATAGAAGTTTACTTCTGTCAGTTCTGGAAGATGGGAAGTCCAAGATCAAGGCAGATTTGATATCTGGTGAAGGCCCACTTTCTCATAGATGGAAGGCTCACTTTCTCAGATGGCACCATCTTACTGGACCACCTAATCACCACCCAAAGGCCCTACCTACTAGTTCCATCACCTTGGGGATTAGGATTTCAACATATGAATTTGGGAGGCATGGGGAGCAGAAACCCTCAGGCCTTGCCAGCCTCGTGTGTCTTTCAAGCAGGGCTCATCACTCGTCAGCCATGGTGGATTAATCCACAGGTCAAATAGTCGTTTTCTAATTTGCCAGCCCCCAGATCAGGTGTCTGCAGATCCTGCGAGTGATGGCTTCCCTTCTTAACGCGGCTGACGATGGTGGCAACACTGCCATTTCCTTGTTGTCCCCTGTACTTTAGTTATTCAAGTCCTGTTGAAGCTGCTGTTTCTTTGCAGGAATCTTTTTAAGCCACTATCCATTATTGTCAGTGTTTGTTGAGATAAAACAAAGTTATATAATTTGGGGATCCACCTTGCCAGGCTTAGATGACCCCATCCAGCCCAACAGTGGACATACCCAGACAAGGGCATGGGCCCCCACACCCTGAGGAGGAAATCCCACTTTCCCCTTAGAATATCCCAGACCACACTTGGCCTGCAACTGAGGATACACCCCTACTAGCAAAGCCCACAAGAAAGCAGAAACCTCAGGGTTGCATTAGTCATCTTTGAGCCTCTTGCCAGTATAACTGCCCTAAGTTTATGTCCCCTGGAAAGCTTTGGATTGCAAAACCAGAAAGACATATAGGTAGGCATTTTCCCAGAGGTTATTCTTTATTATTAACAAAAGGAGAGCTCTATTTAAATTCTGGATCCCTTCTCCCAACCCAGATTTTTCTTAATTTTATTCTATAACATTTATTATACCCTAAGTATAATTTTGCAGCAGTTTTTAGGTGTTTTCAGGAATTGTCTTTTCTGATGGTGGTACTTATATCACACAAGAATATTTAAATTTAGTTGTAGTTCTGACAACTGAAAAAACGTAAAAAGGATCTATTCCCTTTTCCAACCCAACTGTGTGTGTGTGTGTGTGTGTGTGTGTGTGTGTGTGTGTTTCAGAACTTCTGAGAGAGATGGAGCAGTTGTTGTAATGGTCATTATCCAGTAGAGATTGTAATGACAGTGAGTCCTCACACTGACCCACCCCTGACTGAGGGACAAGCTCTGTGCCTCCTTGCATTTTATGTGCATTAACTCATTTCATCTTCACAGTACCCCAAACAGAGTTGGACTGTCACGCCACTCTTGCATGACAAAGAGGCGAGAGGTGTAAAGCTGGATTTGGTTATGTGTCTCAGAGCCAAGTTTATGCCCACCACCCTGTCTTAAAGGGGACCTCCTGGGCAGTCATGACCCTGAGGAATGACATAACCCCCAAAGGCACTCCTCAAAAACAAATGGAACAAGCCATGTTCCCCATAAACATGGGGTAATGCTAACCTTATTTAATTATACTCTCCTTCCAGAGGTGTGGAGGCTCGTATTTTTAATATGGTAATTTAGCCAGGATTTTCCATTTCTCCAGTCATTCTCGACAAACAGATGATGTTAAACACTTGAAATATTAGCCTTTTCGATGTTTTAATTCTACATAGTATTATTTTTGTTGTTGCTTTTTAACTAACTGCTTTGACACAAGAACTCTCCATGTACTTAAAAAAAAAAAGGAGAAAATTTTGAGTAGTGCAATTTGATATTTGGTCTGTCATTTGAGCATGTGTGTTTGTGTTCACGTGTGTATTTTACTTCCTGGTGATTTACGAGAACTCACTAATGAGAAGCAGATGGCCCCCAAAGCCACGAACTAGAGTTTATAATACTCTGTTGTTTATGGAAAAAAAAGTATGAATAATATCCTCTTCCAACCCTTCTTTTCTTTTTAGGGAGAAGACATTTTTTTGGACATGTTTGAAGATGAGTACAGGAGCATGACAGTAAGTGAGGAGCTGGGACACACTTGGGCTGGCATGTGCCTGTGTTCCTGCCAAGCTCACCCTGCCCATCCCAGAGGGGGGTTTTTTACTTAGGGCTTTCTCACCAAATAGCACAGATTGATGGGGAAGCAGATTTAGAATGGTGTCTTGTAATCCCCATCACTGTTAAAATTTCAAACTATATTTACTCCCCCTGGGATGGGAGGTGTCAAATGAGTCACGAAGAGTCTCTGCTAGGAATAGTAATTTGGGAGCAGTATCATTTTATTGAGGAGTTACTTGGTGCTGGATGTATACAATATGTGGTACAGATTACATGTCTTCATCCTCGTGCCAACCCATGGTAATAGCTACTGCCTTTGTCCCTTTCTTGCTAAATTAGTCTGTTCTCATGCTGCTATGCAGAAATACCCAAGGTGGGTAATTTATAAAGAGAAGAGGTTCAATTAACTCACAGTTCCACTGTGGGGAGGCCTCAGGAAACCTACAATCATGGTGGAAGGCACCTCTTCACAGGGTGGCAGGAGAGAGAATGAGTGCAAGGATTAAAAAGTGCCAGATGCTTAGAAAACCATCAGATCTCATGAGAACTCAATATCATGACAACAGCATAAGGAAAACCGCCCCCATGATTCAATTACTGCCACCTGGTCCCACTCTTGTCATGTGGGGATTGTTACCATTCAAGTTGAGATTTGGGTGGGGACACAGAGCCAAAGCGTATTACTTGCCAATGAGGAAACAGAGGTCTAGTGATGTCCCCAAATCTGCCCGACCAGTGAGTGGCAGGGCCAGGCTTCCAGAGCAGGACAGCCCATTCCCCCGTGCTTCTCCATGTATTATGTCCCTGCCTCCCTGTTTGCTGCTCCACTGGAATGTTCCAGCATGGAGCTCTTCCTCCGATCTGCAGTGCCAGCATGGGCCTCCTTCCTCCTCCAGCAGCCAGAATCGTGGGAAGCCATCGGTTCGGAAGATCCAGCTTTCTCTAGTCTGCGTGTTTGTCTCTGTATCCCAGCACCTCCCCTTGGCTAGGTACTCCATAAATACATGATAAATGATCCTTCTTGTGGATATTACCCACCAAAGCGTGTGTGATTTGGGAAGTTGATAATAAACCTAAGTGTTTAAAGTGTCAAAAAGAAAAAGATAGCATGCCCTAATTGGCTCCTTGGCTTCCCTGCCCGTACCCCAGGAATCTAGACAGCGGGGCCCTCACCACGTCCTCTGTCACTGCCTGTCTGAGACTGCCATGGAGTCTTTTCAAGGGAAAGGTGTAACTGGCATAAGTCATCTCCAGAAATGCCCCAGCGGCGCCCTGTGCCAGGCCCCCGTGGGCTGCACATTCACAGCCCCTAATCATTCCTCCAGTTCCCTAGAGAGTGGCTCAGTCTTCTACCCTTCAGACCATTCACTAGAGTGGAAGGGATTCAGTTGTCGTTTGCCATTTCCTCTTACCCCTGAGACATCCTCCTGCAATGTCATTCCCTCCAGTTTGGTTTCCTGTTTAGAAATGTCAGGCTCCTATGGCACTTGGCCATGTGGAAAAGCTTGGGCTCCTAAACCCCTGCTCAGTGTCTACTCTTGACAGTGCAACCTTGAGTATGTTGCTTAAATTCTGAGCCTTGATTTTTTTTTTTTTTTTTAGGAGGGATGTTGTAGGGATATTGTGATAAATTAATGTATGCAAAGCCTCTAGCACAATGCCTGGTTCATGATAGGTGCTAAATCCATAGGATAGGGTCCCTGCCACAGTGCCATCCAGGCTGGGTATGATAAAGCCAACAAAAGGCCTCATGTTGAGTCCGCACACCACAAATACTCATTTCCTCCTCCTCCTACCGTGGAGAGCTTCCAGGCTTTTGTTTGTTTGTTTGTTTTAATCAAACATGTATTGTCTGTCCTATACAATGCTTGACGTTCCAGAGAAATATAAGGGTGCCACACCCTGAAGGATGAGGGCTGATTTGCAGATTTGTTGGAAGAAATTTCTTACAGTTCTGGAGATTTGTATCTGCAAATCAGCCCTCATCGAATACAGCTTCTGAGTGGAAGGAGGGGGGACGGGCCCTCGGAGGCTTCGTCAGAATCAGGCCATGACTTGTGACCCTTCCTTTGTTTCCCTGATTGCCTCTGGTTTAATGCAAAAGGTGCAGTGAGGTGATGGTCTAGCTCTGCCCCCAGCAGGCTTGAGGGGTTCACTGGGAAGTTTGTGGGGGCAGTGGGAGTAGCGGGGAAGGGAGCTACAAGTGATTGAGTGAGGCAGGAGCTGCCACCCCTGCTGGGATAGAAGATTTGGAGTGGAGGACCTCAGGCCTCTGGAGGAAAGTACTTAAAAGCGTCCAAAAGAAAACCTTGCCCCCCTGGCCCGTTCACCGATGTCTCAGCCTGTTTTCTGCAGCTATACCAGAAAACCACAGCCTAATTTATAAAGAGAAGAAATTTCTTATAGTTCTGGAGTTTGGGAAGTCCAGTATCAATGTGCTGGCATCTGATGAGGGCCTTCTTGCCACACCATCCCATGGTGCAAGGCAGGAGGGCAAGACAGAGCAAGTGGGGACAGAACTCCCTCTTATAACAGATCCACTCTCACCAAAATTGAGCCACACCTGCACCGATAACATTACTTCATTCATGAGACCTAATCCTGTCTTCGTAGGCCCTACCTCTCAACACTGTCACACTGGGGATTAAGTTTCCAACACGTGAGCTTTGGGTACACATTCAAACTGCAGCACCGGGTATCTGGGCAGCTGGGCCCTCATTGTATCCTTGCCCTGTGTGGTTAACTGTACCTAGTAGGAGAGGGCAAGTATAGTGTGTTTGAAGGCCACTTTCTGAAAAGAGAAGACACAAGGAAAGCTTGTGATGTTTGAAAGAGTAAAACGAAGGCTGTAGAAAGCTTACCCTTCCTCCATGATGCCATGGAAATGAAGTATTGGCATTCAGGAATACGTGTGCGTCAATTACCACTACCGATGCAGCAGATATCTGGGAATGGTGGCGGGGAGGGGGTGTCCCCTTGTGTCTTAGTCATGAAAGAACGCTTCGCAGAGGTGGTGTGCAAAGAGGCAGTCAGCTCTGGCCCAGTGCCGTGGCCATGCACCTTTCGTCCTCTAAGCTCAGGGTCCCTTCATGATGGGGCGCCATCACCTGTCGTCCAGCAGGAGGTGATCCCAGCAGGTGCCTGGCGCTTAGTAGATACTCCAAAAATTATTGTGTTTTATTATTCTGGGTAAGAGGTGAAGGAGACGAGGAAGGAAGGAGGAACATTGGCCCTAGGATGGGAATCACAGAGGACCTGGAGAAGGGCAAGCCTGGGCTCATGTCTTGGCTCTGCCACCCACCAGCTGAGTGACCTTGGATCCATTTTTCTGCTTCTTTGAGACTGTTCCTTCATCAGCAAAGTGGGAAGCAGCTCCTCAAAAGCTCTTAGGTCACAGCCTGTCCTGTAGTCAGCTCTTGTTAAAGAGAAGCTGCCATCGCCACAGCTGTTATCATCATCACTGAGGGACAGAGAGAAGGAGGCAGGTGGCAGGTGGGCTTGCAGCTACAGGATAAAGCATGCTCAGCCTCCTGCTGAGAATCCCTGTCCCTGCTGAGGTGGAGAGGGAATGCCAGGAGGAGCAAGCAAGGAGGCAACTTCTCAAGGATCTGAGCTGCTGCGTTAATTAAAGGAAAAATCTGCGACTTATAAAACCAGAAGGCATATTGCTCCCTTATCTGGCTGCCTCTGGGCTTTACCTCCGTGTAAATCCAGGGTTTAGATTACTCATTTATGTTTAGTAATTGCGGGTGAAGGCAAGGAGCCTCCCCCGGCCCATTCCTACTCCCAAGCGAGGGACCTGCTTTGAGGTTTCCTGTGATGTCTCTTCTAGATGAAGCCCATGAACGTGGAATATCTCATGATGGATGCCTCCATCCTGCTGCCCCCAACAGGCACGCCGCTGACGGGCATTGACTTTGTGAAGCGCCTGCCGTGTGGCGATGTGGAGAAGACCCGGCGGGTGAGTGAGTGCAAGACCTGGCGTTTCCTGGGCCACTGTTCTCCAGAACCACTCCCAGACCAGGCAGGAAAGGGCCTCTTTGTCAAAGTCAAGACCCTGCCCTCAACACAGCTTAGATAGCAGATAGAGAGCACACACTTGCCACCAGCCATGACTTTCCAAAGCGTGTTGCTCTTTGGAAAGTGGGATTTGGCATTCCATTGCATCTGCCACCAAATGTTGGCTGCAGGCAGGTAGCCTTCACCGACATAGACAGACTCAAGCCCTGAGCTCAGGTTTCTGTGAATCGTGGCAGGTGAGCACGGTACATCCAGTGCAGGTGAGGTTGGTGTGAAATCTTAGTCCAGCGGCCTCAGGGCTCCTAGAGATAGTGTGATATTAAGGCATCTCCCTGCTCTTGGGACACAGTTAAATGAAATATGCATCACGCCAGCTGCAGGAGAGATGTGTGTGAAGAGATTAGTTCTTAGAACAGCTGCAGTGTGTGCTTCTGTTATCAGCCCTTTTTTTCTGAAGCAGGCGCTCTAGGAAGAAGAATTTGCAAGGCTGTTCATGGTATTTTATCTCCCGGTAAGATCAGAGTTTCTTTCTTAGAAAGCACCATAACCTTTTCCTAGAAAATCATTCCCTGGAGACATGAATATTTGTGGATAGTGTAGAGGAATTCATTGAATGCAGCTCCCCCTGTCAGCCTGTATCATCTGCGTTAATTGGTGTGTGACAGAGGTGTTTCACTTTTGGATTTTGCAAAGCAGGAATGACCTGTCATTTGCACCTCAGACATGAGGAGTCTGAACCTTCCTCCCCACAGCTGGTGATTCTGCCTCAGAGGCCTGGGGGTGCAGAGGAAGTGGGACCATGTGTCTTGAGTCAATCTACATTTCCAACTGTCTGACCAAACCCACAAGCCTCACCGCAGGACCCACCCTGTCCTGGCCACTGACGCCTTCCTTCCATGTGCTCCAGCCAGGCGCACGATTCTGTTAGTGGGTGGCAGTGTTTGCACTGGGCGTTCTGGCATCAGCTTTCACTGGAGGACTGGTTCTGTCAAATGTCTGTATGTTGCTTCCTGATGCTGACATGCTCACCCCCAGCCAGGGCTACAGCATCCTGTGCCTAGAAGGCCCTGCCTGGAAGATCCCCCCAGCCCCTGAGCCAAAAAGGTCCAGAGGCCTGAACGCTGAGCACGGCTTCTTTGGGTTCCACTCTGCTGTTTTTTTTGGTGGCTACAAAGAGCTGTGATCCAGCCTGGAGTGCCTGTGTGCAGTGGTGCGATCATACCTCACCACAGCCTTGAATTCCTGGGCTGCTGCCATCCTCCCACCTCAGCATCAGTAGCTGGAACTACAGGCGCAAACTACCGTACCTAGCTAATTTTTTTTTAAATGGAGTGCTGCCCTGTCTCCCAGGCTAGAGTGCAGCACCACCATCTCGGCTCACTGCGTCCTCCACCTCCCAGGTTCAAGCAATTCTTCTGCCTCAGCCTTCCGAGTAGCTGGAACTACAGGCATGTGCCACCATGCCTGGCTAATTCTTGTAGTTTTAGTAGAGCTGGAGTTTCACCATATTGGCTAGATTGGTCTTGAGCTCCTGACTCATGATGTGCCTACCCTGGCCTCCCAAAGTACTAGGATTACAGGTTAATTTTGTAAATGTTTTATAGAGATGAGGTCCTGTTAAGTTAATCAAGCTGGTCTTGAACTCCTAACCTCAAGCCATCCTCCTGCCTTGGCCTCCCAAAGTGCTGGAGTTACAGATATGCACCACCACACCTGGCCCACACTCTGCTTTCTTTTGGTTCACAGTTCATCAGGATTTGTCTTACCACTTTTGTGAATGCATAGCCTCTGTTATGAAGTAGATCAATTTAAATCAGCTCTTTATGTGGATTTCTTCTTTAATTCTATAATCATCGTAAGAGATTTACATTGTTATTATCCTCATTTTACAAAGGAAGATTTTTTTTTTTTTTTTTTGGAGACAGGGTCCCACTCTGTCACTCTGGTGGAGTGCAGTGGTGCCATCTCAGCTTGCTGCAACTTCCACCTCCTGAGGTCAAGTGATCCTCCCACCTCAGTTTCCTGGGTAGCTGGGATTACAGGCGTGTGCCACGACACTCTGCTAATTTTTATATTTTTTGTAGAGATGGGGTTTTGCCATGTTGCCCAGGCTGGTCTCGAGCTCCTGGACTCAAGTGATCCGCCCACCTCAGCCTCTCAAAGTGCTGGGATTACAGGTGTTAACCACTGCACCCGGCCCACAGAAGAAGAAATTGAGGCATGGAGAGGTCCACTGATTTGCTCAAGGTCACCCGGCTAGTGAGTACCTGGGCCATGAGTCGGCCCAGGCAGTGTGGCCCCCAGAACCTAGACTCTTAGACACTCTGACCCACTGCTTCCCACACTGCCTTCTTTAGATCTACTAGCTCTGCTTAGGACACAGGGACGTCAAAAACACAGCCCCAGTCCTGAAGGGATCAGAGTCTAGAAGGCAAAGTAAAGAGACAGAGGCAGGCCGTGTGGCTCAGGCCCTTATTCAAGCAGCATTAGGTCAGGTCACTAATCCCTCCTGGAGCAGGAAGTGGGACAGACACCAGATAGGGAGGCACAGGTCCAGAGAGATGTGGCACATTCTGGCACCTCCACGGTGGTGATTGAAGCTGGAGCCCACAGTGGGATGCGATGAGACTGGGGGTGCTGGCAGGAGCCAGATCATGGGGGCCTTGGAGCCCCTTGAGAACCTTAGCTGTCACCTCTTAACATTGTTTCATGACCTTGTGGCCTGCTGGGCTGGGGCAGGTGGTCCTGACCATGGCAAGACATGGGAGAAATGCAGGAGTGAGTTTGTCAAACATGTAGCAGAGGGTATGTTGCTTCTTGTCTGCTCTGAGCTACTGTGTGTCTTCATTTGTTAAGAAGAATGTTTCTGCCTTTCCAGAGTTATCGTGAGGACTCAGCAGAAGGCCAGTGACGGTCTTGATGAGTCTCTTTATCCCTCACATGTCACGTAGTTGCAGCTTCCCTGAGCTGTCTGGCCACCTCCCTTGCCCTCGATAGGATACACAGCCCAAGTGGCTAGCTGAAGCACGGATAGAGACCTGGAACATCTCAGCTTCCCTAGAGTCTCTCTGCCTGTCTGACCAGTTTCCAAAAGCAACTCTCAAGTCCTCCCAGGGTCCCTGGGTAGGAGGATGATATAAAAGCAGGCAGGCTACCTCAAAGCCAAGGCATCCACTTTAGAAAAGCTTCCTTTGTAACTTTAAGAATTTATTTCTGAAGGGTAGCTTTGGCCACTCATCTCACTATGGTTCCTTTTGCAAGGTAGCCATCTAGAATCATCCAGAAGCTTAGCCCGTCAGTCCTACTTCAGAAATCGGAACACAGCAGTGTGCTTTGAATTTGAGCTAAAGGAAGTTGCGTGGTTTAGCAAGTAATTGAGGGCTTATGTGGTTCGTTTCAAGTTTTTTGCTTGTGTCCAAAGAACATTCCAAGCTATTCGTTTAGATTCAGAGGTTTTCTTTCTTTCTTTCTTTCTTTTCCCCCACCAAGTAGGCTTTTTAAAGGAGGCTGGTCCTTTTCAGAAACTCCACCTTTGTTTTCCTTAAGGATTTGTCAAAGAAGTTCAAACAATTCTTTCTGGCAGATCATTCCTAAATATTCATAGATTTATCAAAGAGCTGCTAGATTCTTGCTGTGTGCCAAATACTGTCTGCCTGAGGGTGCAGAAACGAGCAAGCCATGTCCCTGCTCTCTCTAGACCTCTCTCTTTACCTAGAGAGGTAAAGTTGATTAGCAAGTAAGCGAATAGCAGGTTTGGTATCAAACCACAATCAGAGCTTTAGAGGAAAGAAATAGCCTGCTATAGCCAAGGGCTGAGAAGCAGTCCTCCTGCAGCTAGGGTGATCGGAAGAGCTGCTCTGCAGAGGTGACATCTGAGCTGAAACCTGGAGGGCGAGGAGGAGCCAGGAAGGTTAAAGTGATAAAGGAGGCGCTTTCCAGACAGGGAGCAGCACATGTCCGGTCCCCGAGATGCGACCATATATGGCATGTTCAAGAAGCTCAGCAAATGAGGGAGGGGCAGCGGCAGAAGAAGATGGTGGCAGCGCTTTGCAGGCTGTGGGAGGCATCTCACGATAAAGCAGTTTTCCCTCTTGGTCTAACTGACAAAACTGTTTTCCTTCTTTACGGCTTCTCTCAAGTGCCCCTATATGTGGGGTGGGTCCAGCCCAAGCCCAAAGTTCTGCTTGAACGTTCTCACGGGACCCCAGCAGCTCCAGTGACCTTCATTTTTTATTTTTATTTTTGTTTTTGGAGATGGAGTCTCATTCTGTCACCCAGGCTGGAGTGCACTGGCACGATTTCACTGCAACCTGCACCTCCAAGGTTCAAATGATTCTCCTGCCTCAGCCTCTAGAGTAACGTGAACTAGCATGCCCAGCTGATTTTTTTGGTATTTTTATTAGAGACTGGGTTCTTCGGTCTGTTGGCCAGGCTGGTCTCGAACTCTTGACCTCAGGTGATCCACCCACCTTGGCCTCCCAAAGTGCTGGGGTTACAGGCGTGAGCCACTGTCCCTGGCCCCCTCGTGCATTTTAAAAACCACATCACTTATTCTTTCTTTCAACATAATGATTGAACATTTTCTAGGTATCAGGCTCTGAGTAAGATGCAAGACTAGAACAATGAACAAATAATATAAATAAGGCCAAAACAGCAAGGGCGCCACTGAGCCATTCCAGCTAAAAAGGGAAATTCATGTTGAAATGAAGGTCACTGAATAATATAAATAAGACCCGAACAGTAAGGGCGCCACTGAGCCATGCCAGCTAAGAAGGGAAATTCATGTTGAAATGAAGGTCACTGGAGCTGCTGGGGTCCAGTGAGAACATTTAAGCAGAACTTTGGGCTTGGGCTGGACTCACCCCACATGTAGGGAGACTTGAGAGGAAAACAGTTTTGTCAGACCATCCGCGGGTCAAAGCCCAACTCCAGCTGCATGACCTTGAGCGAGTCACTCTCCTCCCGGAGCCTCGGGTCCCTCGTGTGTCCTACTTCTCAGCTGTTGCCCAGGGTAGATGAGAGTGGCTGTGAAGTGACAAGCCCAGGGCCTGGCAGACAATAAGCACTCAGGAAGCATGGCTGAACAGAAATGGAGCAGTCTAGTATCTACGGTGGGAAAGAAAAGGAGTCTTTAATGATCTAAATCAACCGAAGCTTAATGCCAGACAAAAGAGGGTTAGGAATAGGAGTTTTTGGTGAATATCAAAATCCAGGTTTGAGCCACTAGCCATCCGTATGTAGTCATCTTGGAAGCTGTTCCGAAACAAATGTATTTGCACGAGGTTTTATTTGTCTCCATGTTGTTTCCCTGTTCCCTTCTAAAACCACAAGCAGTTTTTGTGTTTATCACTACTGACCTTAAGGAAATAGGAGATCTTGCTTTCTTTTTGGATGTGTATTACACAGTAAAGAAAATACAATAACATCTCATAAAATTTCAAAAGTAAAGGGAAAAGAATTTCTCATGATTTCATCACCCTACACAAACAATACTTAGACATCTTTTGTGCTCCTCCCATCTTTGTCTGTAAAGAGAATGTCCCAGGGTCTTGCTTTCATCCCTTCTCCTTTTTTTTCTTTTCATCGTTGCATAAGAAGTTCTTCATGTTATCATAGTTCAAATAAGTCTGGTTTCTTATGGCCTCATAAAGAAAGGTTTATCTGGCATTTTCCTGCAAGTAGACATTTTGGTTGCTTCCAGTATTACATTATTTTCAGCTAAACTATAATGAGCAGCTTCATGAATACAGTGTTTTTCTTTCTTTTGAGTTATTTCTTTAGGATAGGTTCCCAGAAGTGGAATTCCTGGTTCAAAGGGTATGAATGTGTTTTTTTCATGACTCTCTGCACATTGCCAAATGGCTTTTCCGAGGGGCTGCGCCCACATTAAACTGCTTCGGCACTCTTTTAAGAATGACTGACTTTCACAGCTACGTGGCCTCAGTGGGCTTCTAACCTGAGAGACTGTTTCCTAAACTGGGTAGCTTGCACATGCAGCAACGAACGAGAAGGGTGAAAACTGAGCCTTTGTTCCAAGCCAGCTCCTGGGCTCAGCGCATCACCGGTGCCGTCCCGTTGTACTTGCATGGTGGGTGCCCCGTTTCCAGAGCACAAGCCTGGGCTTGGGCCATTCACGTGCTTACCAAGCCCCAGCTTGAGCCACAGTGCATCTTGAGCCACCCACTTTCCCCTGCTCATTGGACTGATTCCCCCGTGACATTGAGTTTGCCAGTTTGCTTCCAGACTCACTGAAGCAAAGAAACTGGAGAAATCTCTTTATATTTGAGCTTGGTCAGCTGTCATCCTTTTCAAAATCTAACCTGTTCTTCCTGGGTCAGTCCTTCCTGGTATTCTGTGGAAGACTGAAAGAATAATAATTTCTTTTTCCTTTTTAATAATACTTTTACATTTACCTCTTTACTTAGCAAAGAAAAGCAATCAATAAAACCCTGGGTCCCAAGCCTGAAATCTTTCGGAGGTCAAGGAGTGGAGCTTGGAATCCAGTTATTCATTGAGTGACCTTGGGCAGGCTGCCTGTCATTGTTCGGCTTTGGTTTCCCCATCTGTAAAATAGGAACCACACAGCGTCATTAAAAGGCTTAAATGAGACCACACTGTACAGCTGGCATAGTACCTGGCATGCCATGGGCAGCCAGAGAGTGGTTATTGTTTTAGGGGGTGGTCGGATGAATTGTACGGCTCTTATGCTCATATTTTAGCTTTCTTTTGTGAATCCACAGAGTTGTGGGGCTGCCCGATGTGACTACCAAATCCTTATATCCCCCCTGTCCCCAGGGGAGTCCAGCTTTTGCCTCTAGTGGCACTCCCTGCCCCGTGGGAATCGGCCCTCCCCACATTCATGGGCATGGCTTCTCACGTGTTCTTCCTTCTCTTAGGAGTTGGGGCAGGAACCAGGAAAAGTATTGAGGGATTTTATTGTACAGTCTTCCCTCAGTATCCATGGAGAATTGGCTCTAGGATTCCTTCCCCCAAGGATACCAAAATCCATAGATGCTCAAGTCCCTTATGTAAATGGCGTAGTGTTTGCATATAACCTACACACATCCTCCTGTCGACTTTAAATCATCTCTAGATTACTTATAATACCTCATACAATGTAAATGCTATGTAAATAGATTGTTATGCTGTACTGATTAGGGAATCATAAGAAAAAAGTTTGTACGTGTTGAGTACGGATGCAACCATCCACTTTTTTTTTTCGAATATTTTTGATCTGCATTTGGGTTGAATCCAGAGATATGAAACCCATGGATACAGAGAGCCGACAGTATGTGTTTTATATTCTGTTTTATATTTATGATGACTGTTGATGATTCATGTGTTGTTTGCAGAGCAAAAGCAGATATTGGCCCATATTGGGAGCCAAATTCTGAACTTCTAAAGTATTTATTGGAAGTTTACAGTTGTTCAGAGTGATGGGCTACAGAAAGCCACACATGTTTCTATCTTCTCACCCACCTGCTCTGGTCCTGCGTGAGTTATTTGCCTTCAGAACCCCGAGAGGAACGGAGGTTTGGGCATAGAAATGAGCATCTCCTTGACTTGGACCTGGCTGTCGTGGGCCCTTTCCTTTCTTCCTTGTCCTTGTGGTCATGACTTCTTGACAGCTCAAGCTGCCAAGTGTTTCAGGTGACCACCCACATCTTGGGCCTTCGGTACTTGGGCTGCCATGGATGTTTAAGTTTCCTGGTGCATGTGGTTAAGTGACACAAGTGTCATACGTTCCTGAGTTCACACCCACTTCAGCCACTTAGTAGATGTGTGAACTGAAATTGTCCCTCTAGCTCTGTTTCTTTCTCCATCAAATGTTACACTTACAATAAGATGTCCACAGTTCCTGCCACAGGAACTGTGCTTAATAAATAGAAGTTCTTTTGAATGTTTTAATGGAATTACACCTTTTTTTTCTGATTGTTACGGATATCTTTATGAAGACCGTACTTTTAAAAACTGTTAACAATCAGATATGAATGCTACCATCACCATCATCATCATTGTAATATGAGAGCTGATCTTTAGTGCTTTATGGTTTACTGAGGACTGCACTGACTTCGCATAGGACCAGGAGATAGGATTGCTCTTCCAGTTTCAACATTAGGAGGTTGATCCAAGGTCTCCCACTGGTTAGGGCCCAAGGCAGCACTGGGTGCAAGCAGGCTGATCATCTCCTCATTGACTGGGGTATGAGGAGGCAGTGTGAGTACATCTCTTTGCAGACAGTAATTTGTCCCCTTTGTAGTTTCAGAAGGCACACTGCTGTATAGAGGGCACCCTCCCCTCACCTAGGTCCAGACTGCAGCCTTCAGAGCCATAAACAGTAAGACCCAAAGGTGCACTGGGATTTGCCTTTGCAGCTCCCTGGTGGTGACAGTGGTTTGTCCCCCCACCCCACTGTGCTGGCTGCTTTCCCTCCTGCGTTATCTCAGAACCTCCTAGCAGGCCTTCAAGCTATCATGCCCATTTCACAGATGAGGAAAAGGAAGCTCACAGAAGTCAAGGGACTTGCCCAGCTTAGTGGAGCTGGGAATCTGATGTAGACCTTGTCTGTCTGACTCTGGAGCTGTCCCCTTCGGGCACTGCACCCTCAGTCAGGCCCAGCAGCTGTGCATCAGGGAGAGGGGCCTGCAGGTAGCCTCTCTGTGGACTGAGGCCAGGAACTGCCCCTCTTCCTCCTGGCTCTCATTGGTGGGCAGGGCTGGAGGCTGCTCTCTGCACACACTCTTCTGGCTGCCGGGACTCTGCTTTGTTTCTGCTCTTTGGAAGTACCTGGTGGTCACACAATTCTGACCAGACACCACTTCCATGGGCCAGGAATCCCTATGCTGGCAGATTCGCCTCTGCCCCTGCTCTGCTGGCTGGGAAAGCCTGAGGGGCATTCATGGAACCAAGGTGACTGCCCACCTGCCAGGTGCAAGATCTCTGCCCCATCAGCAGCACACTCCCTGTCACAAGACCAAGGGACCGGGAGTTAAAGAGACTCACCCGGGGTAGGATTTTTTCTCAGGTTGCAGGCCCTGCAGACCACAGGGATTTCATTTCACCCTCTTCTGTCTGCCCCACCCCCATATTCAGTAGGTAAGAGCTTGAAATACTTTTGGAGTGATTGGGTTTTCCAGAGTCCATGCTGGTTTGGCTGGGACAGCCTTGGGGTGTAGCCCTTGCTGGAAGTCACTTCACCTTTTTAGATCTCAGTTGCCCGGTCTATGAAATGGGGCTGACTGTTGGGCAGGGCTATTACAAAGGTCACCTGACACTTGAGAACAAGGTTCTGGCAGATGACAGTGCTCAGTTCAAGTAAAGTAACCCAAACCTGAACCTGTGGATAACTGCAAACAGGCTACTCCCCCTTTGATTTCTTTTGTCTTGCTGTAAAAGCAAACACCAGAATCACAATACCTGAAGCAGTGGGCTTTGTGGTTTTTCTTTCTTTTCTTTAAGTAGAGAGTCAAATTTCTTGATGTGGGGCATCTCACTGAAATGACTCTGCAATCTCACTCTTCTCTGTTCTCCGAACTGTTGGTCCAGGCCATCCGGGTATTCTTCATGCTGCGTTCCCTGTCACTGCAATTGCGAGGGGAGCCCGAGACGCAGTTGCCGCTGACTCGGGAGGAGGACCTGATCAAGACCGACGATGTCCTGGATCTGAGTGAGTTGGCTGCTCTGAGTCACAGCAGGGGGCTGGGTGACATGGGACACGGGACACCGCTCTGCTGATCACTAGCTGCTGGGAGGGTCAGTGTGCAAGCTGCATTTTGTACTGTCGTTGAGCTGTGACCATGAGCCAACAGTGTGCGTGTCCCATGCACTTTTTGAAGAAAAGGCCCCCAGGTTCTTTGAGGTCAGTCTGAGGATTCTGCTTTCACAACCAGCTGGTTCTCTTAAAAAGTCTCTGCAGGGCAACTGGGGGCTCAAGCAAGGGTGAACAAACTCCAGGGTTCCTGCCCTCCCTGTAAACATAGTGGCACCAGTATGGTTCGTTTTATATATTAAGCATTTTCTATATGATTCCAATGATAAAAGGGTTCTACTGCTAAAGAAAGAAATGTGGAAAAAGCAAATCACCAGTGCTGAGGTAAGGATGAAGGCTTCAGAGGCTGGAGAACCATGTGCTCAGTCCATAACCTTGAGCTGCTTGTTCTACTGTGTAGTGCCTCAGTGTTCTCGTCTGCAGCAGGAGGCTGAGCTTTAAAGGAGACAGTGGGCGTAAAGCCTGACCGTGCTCCTGAAACGCCTCTCGTATTTGTATAGCTTTCTCTTTCCTCCATTTGCTGCAGGGCACGGGTACATCAGTGAGCGGCATGGTTTTCTGTTTCTTAAGGGTGTTGTGGTATATTGGGAGTCTTTAGTTATATGAGACAGAAAACCCAACTTAGGCTGGCTTATGGAAAAGAAAGGGAAATTGGCTTATGTCACTGGGAAATCCAGGAGTTAGCTGCCTTCAGGTGTGGCTGGATCTGGGTGCTCAGTGTCATCAGGAAGCTGCTCTGCTCCACTCCATCTCTGAGCTCTGCTTTCCTCTGTTCCAGCTTCATCCTCAGGAGGGTTCTCACCAGGTAGTGGCAAGATGGCCATGAGCAACCCCAAGATTTGTTCAACCAGCTAAGCAGCCCTGATGGAAAGAGAGCTTCTCTCTCCCTTTAATTCTCTCAAAGTCTGGGGTAGAGATGTTATTGGCCTAGCTTGGGCCATCCCCGAACCAGCCAGTGGTCAGAGGAATGTGACTCACTGATGGCCTAAGCTAGGGATGCATGCCCAGCTCTGGAGTTGGGTGGGGGACAGTTGCTTTTGAACCCCATCACTTGAGAGAGGAAGGAGACAGCCCTCAAAGGAAAATCAAAGAAGGGATGGTGACTGAGTGGGCAGAAAAAGCTCAGGCCCCTCTCTGTCGGGTTGTTGTTGCCGTTTTAAATCAGCTTTATTGACGTATAATTTACATGCAAAAAAATTCCCCCAAGCGTTAGTATGTAATTCAATGAATTTTGACAAAACTATGGTGTTGTGATCTAGACCCTGCTCTGTATTCCCTTGTACAAATGACAGACTGCCACAGCCTGTTTCCACTTCTGTAACATGAGATGGTCTTTCTTATAGTACAGAGTTGTTTTGAGGATTGAATGAAACAGCATATGAAATATCTGACCAAGCATGGTGCCTGCTGTGTAACTGTACTCAGCAAACTGTAGTCAGTATTACAGGAGATTATGCATGTGAAGAGCACAGCATGCCGCCTGACACACGTAGAGGTTCTCAGCGAATGAGGATTGTGTTACCTGGTTGTCTAGTTTCTTTTTCTGGCCTTCTTGTTTATGTTTCATCTTTCCCTTGGAAGAATAAAGAAGCCGTGACTTCTCTCCTCCATCTCCTTTGGCCCTTTGCCCTTGAGAAATGGCCACAGGGATCTCTCTAAGGGTTTAAATTGATCGAGTTGACTGCAAAGAATCGTAAACCAGTCTTCTTCTGATTTGATTCAAGGAGAGAAGGGCGTGCCTTAAGGGTGGGGGCCAGGGGGGCACTTCATCAGGGCAGCAAGAATGTTTGCATCCGTGAAATGGAATTAAATTTTATGCTGGCAATTCACATTCCTTCCCTCCTCCCCCTAGGAATGGCCTGCTGAAATAAAGGTTAAGAGTTTTTCACTTATCAATTTTAATTGATTAGATTGCTAGTTGAGCTCACTTAACTGAGCCTTTTTGGGTAGTTGGCCATTAAGAAGGTAATGGCTGTTTGTCTTTGCCCAGCCTGATTGCAAATTATGTCTTTTGCTAAGGAGGGTGACATTCAGAAAATACTAGGAATTATGGATGTTAAAAGCACATGGTACTAAAATAAGATATGCCTGTGTTGTTGTTTTTTTTTTTTTGAGGGAGGGACTGTAAATGCTGGAGCTTCTCCTAACCTACCATTGTAATGGGGGAGAATCATCCTACTCTGTAGTCTGACCAGATGCCTTCAGTGTGTACAAAATACAGGTGAAGGACAGGTGAAGCCGTTCTTACTTGCTGCATGACTGGAAGCTGGGCATGCTTTTGTCTCCTTGATGAGCTGGAGAAAGCTGACTCAGGGAGAATTGTTAGGGACTGGTCACCGTTCTCCTGACTCGATGTGGTCTGCCAGGCTTAAAGGAGTGCTGTCTCCACACAGCACGAAGATGCAGCATAAAGCGTATTCACTGCCCTTGTCACACTTCAGTCAGAAATGGCAGTATAAAGGATATTCCCCAGAAGCCACCACAGGTGCTTGCTGACCAGCAGCAGGCCTCCGGGCCAGGTGTGACAGGCAAGCTCTGACATAAAAGGTAGCTTCTCAAAAAACAAAAAACAAACAAAAAAAGGTGGCTTCTCACGGGAAGCCTCAAAGACGTGGTCACCACGCAGGAAAGAGGCAAACTGGTCATGTTTCAAGTGAAGCCTGTTTTGTTTTTCACTAGAGAGGAGAGTGTCACAGGGCAGGGGTCAGGAACGGGCAGCCACGTGTACCACATCTGCTGGAGTGATGGGGGGCTGGGCTGGGAAGAAAGGAGGGAGGAAAGTGGAAGGAAGTTGAAGGGAGGGAGGGATTGGAGGAAGAAGGGGTACGGGAGGGAAGGGAAGAGGAGAGGAACCAGATAAAACAGTAGATTTCTAGAGGAAATAGCATGAATCTCCATACACCTAGCCCTCAGCTTCAGTTGTTTTTACTATTTTGCTAAGTTTTATTTTATCTGCCCTTTCATCTATTTTAAATACACCACTCATGCAGGCAGTGTATTAAAGCAAATGGAAGACATCATATTATTGTATGTAGAACTACCTCTCTCTAACAGAGAAGGACTTTGCATTGTTCCTCTCAGTGGAATTGGTTGCCACCTTCTGCAAACCGAGGGCTTCCCAGCCCCAGCTGCCAGTTTGGGCAGGAGGCCAGGGTGCAGGGGCCCTGTAGACAGCGCCTGTGCTTACCTGTATGCTGGTCTTGCTGACATTTGATTTTGCAACCGCTGGTGTCATTGGAGTAATCAGCTTTGCAATGTGCCCCAGAGTCTTCATGCCTGTAAGGCTCAGTGGCCTTACCTTTGAAATGGTTCTAGGGCTGGATGTGGCGGCTCACACCTGTAATCCGAGCATTTTCGGAGGCCGAGGTAGGAAGATCACTTGAGCTCAGGAGTTCAAGACCAACCTGGGCAACATAACGAGATCTCATCTTTACTAAAATAAAAAAACAAATAAAATAATGCCAGGCATGGTGGCACACACTTGTAGTCCCAGATACTTGAAGGGCTGAGGTGGGAGCATCTCCTGAATCTGAGAAGTCGAGGCTGCAGTGTACCCTGATCGTGCCACTGTGCTCTAGCCTGGGCAACAGAGTGAGATCCTCTCTTAAAAACAGAAAAACAAAAAAATGGTTTCTAAAAGACTTTCCAAGGAGTGCTGTTGAGCTCAAATGATTATCACATGTAAAGCCCACAGCACCATGCTTGTCACTGAGTAGGTGCTCAGTGAGTGGGAGCTGGCCGCATCCCTGCTACAGGTGCTGAGCACGCAAGCTGTGACTCATCCCGCTGGGCTCCATGGGGCTGTCATTTTCTGCTTGAGCAACGCTCTGAGGACGGTATCTGAAACATTCAAGTCATCGCCCAGATGATGGCACTGTTTTGAGGGGTAAGAAAGATAGCTCTGGCTGCTTTGGCCAGAGGAAGGGAGCTATGTCCCATCTGGACTGTGGGACTCCCTCCCTCCAGTGTGCTCCTGACCAAGGACAAGCAGACTTTGAGGAGAAACCACAGATTCCTGGGGATTGACCTCAGAGCCTCCTTAAATGACTTTGCCTGCTTCCAAATACCATGAGCAACCGCAGTAGGGGAGAAATCCATCCATTATCCATACACTCCAAAGAGATCCCGGCAACCAGGCGTGTTCAGTGTCCAGTTTCCTTGCAGCCGTCTTCTTGTGGGCACCTGACATTCACACTGTTGCAGCCATAGCATGTGCTCCTTGTATCCAACTTGTATTCTGATCTCTAAAATCCATTCATGAAGCCCATTCAGTGAAAACCCATTCATGCATTCAGCTATTTGTGGAGCACCTGCCATATGCCAGGCCCAGTGCTAGGAGCTGAGATGTGACAGTGAGCAAAAAAGCCAGACTTCGCCTCCGTTCTTGGGGTGTTTCCATTTGTGGGGGGAGGGAGAGGATGGAAGTTACAGAACGGGGAGGAGTGTGGACTCAGGGGCCAGACTGTGCCTGCATGGGATTCCTAGCTTTGCTGTTTTCTGCTTGCCAGCTGTATTACCTTAATACCTTAAGGGAACTGAGTCTCCTGGGGCTTCCCTTTCCGCATCTGTAAAACGGGACTTGCTGGGAGGAGTAGATGACTATTATGTGTGCTGTGCCTAGAACAGTGCTTGACAGCATTGTGGAGAGGCCATTTAGGAGGTTGTGGCAGGGACCAGGGGTCAGTGCTGGTGGGCAAAGAGGGACGGGACAGTCTGGATACATTTTGTGACAGTTGGCAATGATGATGCTAGAGAGCTCTGTTGACTGTGGGGTTCTGGGCTTGGAACAATCCAGGTGGCAGGGGCTGTGAGGATGGTGAGTCTGCCATCAGCAGGGCTGGTCCTGGAGGAGGAGCTGGTTCCAAGCAGAAGGTGCTGAGGTTGGTCGGGCAGCCAGG